CGAGCGGGTCTCTTCGACTACGGGGCTTACTCCGACCTCGCGAACTTCGCGCTTCGAGTGGCCGGCACGGACGGCACCCTCAAAGTCCAGCTCTGGGGCGCCGACACGGACGTCGCGCTGTCGGGGTCCGACGACGGCGGCTGGCATCACTACTGCCTGACCTACGACGGGTCGGCGTGGTACCTGTACTTCGACGGGAACGAGGCAGCTTATGGCACGAGCGCGCTCGACACGGGCTCGGACCTCGCGCTTCGCATCGGGGCATGGGGGTACAGCGGCTACTTCGACGGCTCCATCGACGAGGTCTACATCTACTCGAGCGCGCTCGACGCGGCCTCGATCCAGGTCCTCTACGACGTCGTGACGCCGCAGCCGACGGTGACGCCGCGGCCGACGCACGTGTCGCACTCGACGCTGGTCGCGCGCTACTCCTTCGACGACGGCACAGCCGCCGACGACAGCGACAGCAGCCTCGACGGGACGATCAACGGCGCGACGGCGACGGCAGGTCTGTTTGGAAGCGTCGCGATGGCCTTCGACGGCGTGGACGACTACGTCGAGTTCCCCTCGGCCGTGACCGCGGACATCCAAGGGAGCAACGCGCGGACCATCTGCTTGTGGGCGGTCATCGATTCCTTTAGCAGCGACGGGGGGCTCTTCGACTACGGGACCTCCTCCGACCTGCAGAACTTCGCGCTTCGAGTGGCCGGCACGGACGGCAGCCTCAAAGTACAGCTCTGGGCCGCCGACACGGACGTCGCGCTGTCGGGGTCCGACGACGGCGACTGGCATCACTACTGCGTGACCTACGACGGGTCGGCATGGTACCTGTACTTCGACGGGAACGAGGCAGGGTCTGGCACGAGCGCGGTCAACACGGGCTCGGACCGCGCGCTCCGCCTCGGGCAGTGGAACCTCGGAGACGACAATGAGGGCTACCTCGACGGCTCCATCGACGAGGTCTACGTCTACTCGAGCGCGCTCGACGCGGCCTCGATCCAGGTCCTCTACGACGTCGTCACGGCCGCGCCGACGGTGACGCCGCTGCCGACGTCGAACTTCTTCCAGGCCACGCTGGTCGCGCACTACTCCTTCGACGACGGGACGGCCGCCGACGACGGCGACAACAGCCTCGACGGCACCATCAGCGGCGCGACGGCGACGACGGGACAGTACGGGATCGGCGGCGCGCTGTCCTTCGACGGGACGGACGACTACGTCGAGTTCCCCTCGGCTGTGACCGCGGACATCCAAGGGAGCAACGCGCGGACCGTGTGTCTGTGGGCGGTCATCAATTCCTTCAGCAGCGACGGTAGCGAATACGACCTCGGCGCGGGCCTCTTCGACTACGGGGATTACTCCGACCTGGAGAACTTTGCGCTTCGAGTACACGGCACGGACGGCAGCCTCAGAGTCCAGCTCTGGGGCGCCGACACGGACGTCGCGCTGTCGGGGTCCGACGACGGCGACTGGCATCACTACTGCCTGACCTACGACGGATCGGACTGGGCCCTCTACTTCGACGGGACGCAGGCGGCGACGGGGACCGAAGCGTTGGACACGGGCTCGGACAACGCGCTCCGCCTCGGGCAGTGGAACAGTAATTACTACCTCGACGGCTCCATCGACGAGTTCTACGTCTACGCGAGCGCGCTCGACGCGGCGTCGATCCAGGCCCTCTACGACGCCGTCACGGTCGCGCCGACGGTCACGCCGCTGCCGACGTCGCACTTCTTCCAGGCCACGCTCGTCGCGTACTACTCCTTCGACGATGGCGAAGCCGAGGACGACTACGGCGAACTCGATGGGACCATCGAGGGCGCGACGGCGACGACGGGCCGCGACGGGAGCGGCGCGCTGTCCTTCGACGGCGTCGACGACTACGTCGAGTTTCCCTCGGCCGTGACGGCGGACATCCTCGGGAACAGCGATCGAACCCTGTGTCTGTGGCTGCAGCGCGACACGACCTCGTGGGAGGACGGCACGTTCTTCACCTACGGAGACGACGGCGTCGCCTACGGGTCCTTCGCGCTGAGGAGCAACTGCTGCTCGGAGAACGTCCTCGTGGAGCACCACGGCAACGACGACAACTGGGACCTGTCGGTCTCCGGTCTCGACGACGGCGGCTGGCACCACGTCTGCATGACGTACGAAGACTCGGTCGGTACGAAAGTGTACTTCGACGCGTCTCTGGTCTCGACGACGGCCATGACTCTCGACACGCAGTCGACCAACGCGCTCCGCGTCGGTGCGTACTTCGGTGGTTGGGTGTTCACGGGCGCCATCGACGAGGTCTACGTCTACTCGAGCGCGCTCGACGCGGCCTCGATCCAGGTCCTCTACGACGTCGTCACGGCCGCGCCGACGGTGACGCCGCTGCCGACGCACGTGTCCCACTCGACGCTAGTCGCGCACTACTCCTTCGACGATGGCACGGCCGCCGAGGACAGCGACGGCAGCCTCGACGGGACGATCAACGGCGCGACGGCGACGACGGGCCGCGACGGGAGCGGCGCGCTGTCCTTCGACGGGAGCGACGACTACGTCGAGTTCCCTTCGGCCGTGACGGCAGACATCCTCGGGAACAGCGCGCGGACACTGTGCTTGTGGGCATTGATCGACGACTTCGACGGCGGCGCGCTCTTCTCGTACGACTCGAATGCGGATCAGAAGCGGTTCGGCTTCATGACGGAGTCGACGGCCGGCGAGTTCCGGCTGCTCGGGTCTGGCGAGGACTACGACTTCCTGGACGTCGCGGCATCCGGCTCCGACGACGGCGACTGGCACCACTACTGCCACACGTACGACGGAACGGACTGGCTGCTGTACTTCGATGCGACGCTGGTTCACACCGAGACCGTGGCCCTCGACACCGGCTCCGACAACCCGCTGACGCTCGGAGTGCGCTACTCGGCAGGCTTGAGCGGCTACT